CTCCCTACGTAGGATTCTTAACACAAAAAAGGAATTAGGGCGGCATTCGGACTTACAAATTCACTCAGGTAGGACGAGCTCTGTAGGCTAATGGACCCGGTAGACCCAATTAAACAAAATATTATAATTTTCAAAATACCTTGCAATGACTGTGAGTCAGGTTAACTATTTAGGTCAAACTAGTAGATCAGGAGTAGTGAGATTATCGGAACACACGAGTTTAGCTAAGGTTAGGATGATTGATCCCACGAAGATAAGTAATTTAGAAAAAAGCCCAGCAATTGCACTGCATGCATTAACACACAAACACACAATATGATGGGACATAGTTAGAATTCTAAAGAGTAATATAGACAAGTGGAGAGAGACAGGGGTTGATTACTGAATCCTGCCTGGTTGGTCGATTCTACACCCAACATATGCAATAGGAATTACTCATCACTCATACCGGAAATATGGAAAATACCACTACCAATCAAATCAAGAGATGAGAAATAATGGAACCATATACACGAAGTAGGAAGGTTGTGTGAGTAGTGCCTTGATATGATGATTATGAGCAGTAATGAATTGTACTCGAAACGTGGTCATCAGTAAAAATTACTCTGTAACACACTGTGAGGCTTTATCAAAATAAATGTCACCCATAATGGAATTAAACTTCACGCCTCATTGTACAAGTCCTATTTTTATAACAAACTAAATCACCTCAAGACCACAACATATCACCACTGTATCTCACAACCACAAGGAGAAGCATTAAAAGTAGCGATTAAACAGGAACAAAGACAAGTAATAAGGATCAGTTACAGGATTTCATCATGAGCTGACATTGGTTAGAGAACCATTGGAAAACCTGGGAGTACTGGACGACTGTTTCGTCCTAGTTTGGGACTCTTCATCAGTACGCACCCACCGGGGTTCGAACCCAGGACCTTCTGGTTACAAGAGCGAGCTCGTATACCATTAAGTCACTGAGACCCGATCCAATGGCCCATGAATTCTAACCTCTGCCAATTCACGATATAGCACAACCGCTAGCCAATGTCCTCGGCGAGTATTTGTCCTCACACTCGACCTGCCACACCCTAAGTCAATGGACGTAAGGAGGATGATATGTAGCCTAGAAGAGAACGAATCAAAACGATACAGTTAGACGAAATACCCAGATAAGTACCAACACTGTAGTTGGCTCATTCGTGAGGGATTCTGCAAATAATTATTCCATTACACCTACTACACATAATATGCTTGACTACGCTAACAGTCAGTTAACTACCTACCTAACTCATAGCTACTGATAAGAAAAGGCAAATCATCAAGACTCAGTTATTTGTGAAATGTGTTCTGTTAAATCTTATAGTTAAACAAAATAAAAAGTTAGCGTTATTTTGGGTAAAAGATTTCAGACACTAAATGGTTAGTATGGCTAAATTGAGGAATCTATGAATCTGTGTGTTATCAGTACAAGGGAGGGACGGAAAATGACTTCCGAGCCTAGTTGCATGTATACCCACCTGCGAAATAAGCTTAATATCACCCATTTTACTAGTTCGCTAGTTTAATAGCCGGTGAGGTAAAATTGGGCGTGGGACTAGCTGCCTTACCCCAGAAAATCAATCCAATCGTTACAGAAACTTCAAACCACAAGAAAATATAAAAAACAAACTTAAACGTCTTATTTAATTCAATTTTAGATTTTCCCATTGACTGATTGCACCGAATTCAGGCACATCTAGCTGACGAGTCCCAAATAGGACGAAATGAGCATCCTTGGATTCCATTACTAGTCACCATCCACCAACTTAAACTTATATGTCATTGGAATCAGAGAGGCGGAATGATGCGGTTTGGTGGAAGCTTTCGGGAAGCCAGCTAACCAATGGGTGTTCTTTCGACGAAAGCAGAAAAAGGCAAGGGGATACAGAAAATGTTTGTGGAATGTACTTTTGTGCTGTTGAAACCCTATGTTCCACTCGGAACCCAAGAAGTGAGTAATTTTTTTTCAATTCCTTTACGTTCCCAGTGGAACATAGGGCTTCAAGCTCGAGGCTTGAATTCTCTGTAGCAGTGATGATTACTTTTACAGGATGGGAATGCTAGCCCCCTGCTCAACCTTCCCTGTTTACCAGTCTTACTGCCGATTTAGTGAGGTAAAGGGGTGAGTCGGCCGGGGATCGAACTCCGGACCACCTAAAGTAGTCACCAACTAAGGAGCAAATGTCACCCAGATTAACATTTTAAGTACTGTCTGGATATTGTATTACCATCTCGTTAGGGTTAGTTTTACAGTTGGGATAAGGGTTGTCATTAAGGTTAGGGTTATGATTAGGGATAGATTTAGAGTTGATGTCATTTATTTTAATTTGTTTTATTATCCATATTTTCCTGGTAATTAGTCGTCGATCCTCTTACTGAAAACTGTAGTAATCCAACTGACAGCTTTCGAGGAAGAGAGATAAACGATTCACAGAAACAGCTCATCTTCAGTCACCTCGGTGAATGCATGCACTGGAACTAGTCTAACTTAGCAGCTGATACTCCATATTGTAACTGGGGCGTATTTTTAGGTCATCTCAGAGAAAGATACCCTGCTTACAATGTGTTTTCGTGCATTTATTGTAAAATTCAGTTTTTGTGCAAAAATTCCTCATTTTTATGATTGGTCGGCTCATAGTCACTCGTGAGTTTGCATATCTTGGGATGCTATTGTTGAACTTTGTCCCAAATAGCCCAGTTGTATCGTCACTGACTGCCGCACTGCGTGACCAGGTTTCGAATATCAAGCAGGACACGAGTCCCTACAAGATTGCAGATACGCCTTGCTAGTCACTGCCAACAAGCACGAAACCCAGGCTCAACTGAAAGTGAGTATTCCTGCTAGTGGCCTCCTACCATCTTAGAACAATTCAAAGTGCACCGTGATGGCGAGCCACCATACTAGGTGGCCCTCATCTGAAAATTCCCAACACTTAACACTATCACGACATTCAGCTAGCTCACTATTCGATTCATTCCTATGGCTTTGGTGTGGAACAAAGGAATTCAAGATTTGTAGTTCCAGAAGCAGTTATACTCGTGGTAAAGTTGGTAATCCCATCAATGCTCAGACTCCCAGTTCTTCTCGACTACTAGCTGTTAGAAGAGAATTCAGAGTGCGTCAGGTGATAGAACATTTACTTAAATGGATAGAAAATCCAATGATCGACACAGGTGGACAACGATTGCCAACTTCATCTATAGCAAAACACTTCACTGATGTGAATCACAAGAGTAACATCCAAACATCCTTCAAGATTATTTATAAAAACCATAAGGGGTGGATGCTGAATTACACAGAGACGATAGCCATTCATGAACTCAAGCTATCCATCTGTGTGTAAATAAACAGGTTATTACTACTCCTAATCTACCTTAGTGATCTTTAGTCTCTAGTTCTTCATCACTTTAAGTAATTTTGGTGGATAGTGACTAGCACTGGAATCCAAAGCACCTGCATTTCGTCCCTTCTGGGACTCTTCATCTGGATATGCCTGAATTCCTTATCGAGTAATGCTGATGTTCACAAATTTCAATATGGCGAAAATATTCATTCAGACATCTATAAAACACAAAATAGTTGACAGAAGACCAGTAGTTCAGCGAAGAGTCTCTTTTCGGCGGTGAATTCATTTTCGTAGCTGTACAATGGCAAATATATATATGGTTGTTTTGTATGTGTGTGTGCATTAAATCTGACAAACGAAAATACAGTTAGTAAGTCCAAATGAACTGGATGGTGATATAACAGGTTGGTCACAAGAGTGATGCGTTGCCACAAACGACTGTTAAAGAAGAGTTACGTAATAACATGAATAGTTTGATGAAAAAGTTGTGCTCAGGGTGAACATGGAAGCAAAATAAAACACGGAATTGCGCAATTGCAATTTCGTTTGTCAAATTTAATGTACAAACGCATACAAAACAAGCATATATATTTGCGATTGTACAGCTATGAAAATGAATTCGCCGCCAAAAAGAGACTTTTCACTGAACTACAGGTCTTCTGTCTGTTAATGTTCGAATGGGGATTTTCCATGAACAGAATAATTGAGCAAAGGATATGCTTTTCGATAAATTCCTCTTCTAGCTTTACAGTTATATATATATTTATATACATAGAATGTTCAAGAATAGTAGTCAATAACAATATTAGTGTTTTTTAAATAATATCGATTTGTAAAGTAAGATCAGTGGGATTACAGTTCATTAAAGAAGCTTAAAAAATAAGGAAATTTCTACAAAAATTGAGAGTCACTCGAACCTAGATGGCCAAGGTAAGGACAGTGTCTGAACTAGCTTCTTTTGGACACATAAATTAGGCTTCTTAATGTGGATCCCAACAGCCAGCCTCAGCAATATTTAGTAAACGAACTCTTAAGGCGAAGTTAAGATTTGTTGGTATGTGGTAGATGACTTTGAAACGCCTCGTTAACATCAATCTTGTGTTCTGTATCCACAAGATGAGATAGAATAGCGCTACGAATAGATTTTGTTTATCCTTTACTTAACCAGCCACGCAGAATGGTGTTCGTAAATCCGACGAGAAATACGCAAAATTTTACGGCCTAAGTAACTGGCTCCACTGGAGCAGTTAAATTGGTAGATACACACACATGGAAGAGGCGAAATTAGACAGTTTATGCTTTACTCTCGAACGCAAAAGGGAAGGGGTTTTGAAGACACAGCGTAATTCAGCAGCAGGGAATGCTCTCTTTACCGCATTTCTAAGGCCTTGTGTATATCTCGCTAATGTCTCAAATTTATCAAAGTATGTTCACATTAACTGATTAGTGTTCAGCTGAAGCAAAAACATTAAGACGTCGATAAAAGTGGCTTGTATTATTATCATTATTATGAAAAATATTCATTCAAATGAAAAAAAACAAATGAACAGAGTAACTGAAACATGCAGTTTTTAATTTTTACACAAGTAACATGTAAGAAATGAAAAAATTAAATGCAATTTGTTTTACTTTTGAATAATGACAGAAAAAAAATATATAGATAAAAAGATTTTGTATTTTTTGTGCATAAATTAAATATTTCAAACTTTTAGTGATCACCGTTTCAATGTAAATACTTTTTCCATAAAGTCAGCAGTATATTTTGTCTGTTCAATGTTATATTGAACACTTCTTCACTTTTTGTTTATTCAAATCATTTAAGCTTCTATTGTTCACTGGTTTCAATGGCTGAAATGATTCAACTGATTCATTAAAATTATTTTTTAAAATTAAAGGTGAATTATTAGCCTTATTGTCATTATTATTATTATTTTGATTTTTAATGCTTTTATCGTCTCTTGTTTCAGTTAACTGTGTACATTCAGAAGAGGGAAATTCAAATTGTGGATTTGATTGATAATCAATAAAATCACTGTTATTATTATTACTTTTAGTTAATGTAGGATATTGATTCATTGATTTTTTCTTATTTAAATGAAGTGTTGACGGTGATGAAGATGATGAAGGTAAGTTATTTTTGTCTAATTGACAATTCTGATCAAGTTTATTCTCAATATCGTTATCGTCCATATTCTTTTGCTTATCATTATTGTTTTTATTATATTATTATTATTTTTATTTGAGATTGTCAACAATCCATTACGTAATAAGAATATGTAAAAGAATTCAATGAATTCAATAAACACAGCAAATGTCATCCCGATATACAGCGAGCACAGTCCACCAATCCGACTAACTAATGCATTCAAGGTGAGGACAAGTGTTTCCGCTTTCACGATAGTATCATTACTTTTACGTTTTACCAGTAAATACGTGTATCGATCGCTGAAACCGTATGCTTCAGTTAAACTGTCTTTCTCCTGAAAATTTGATGTTATCAAGGAAAGATTATCTGTACGAAAGTAGACTTGTAAATTTTTCAACGCTTTATCATTGGTATTATTCACATTTTGTACTTCTGTGGGTGAAGAGAACAACACCTCTAGAGCAGCTGATGTCTCTTGACTCCAGTGCAACTGCCATCGAGTTGATCTCCATGTGGTCACTGATGCAGTACTTTCATATTCGACTAGCTCACATCGTCTTAAACAGAGACCATTATCTTCAAAAGACTTTTTCAATATTGCTGATTTACTCAAGATATTTCGTACGCATTCTTTACGTGTAAGGATACCTGTTGTATCTAAGCTTTGATTATACGTTGTAATTAAACGTCCACAATACGGCAGGCTTGTATTCGGTAGTTTAACACGTGGCAAATACGCATAGAGGCATGTACATTGTGTAATAAGTAAATTTTGTAAATGCGTATTCAAACACAAATCGAATTCATAGCTATACTCCTGTTCAAGATCAGTATACATTTGTTTCGGTTGATGAATACACGGTTTCCTCGGTGTCTCTTGATGAATAGTTTTCACTGCATCAAAATTCAGCTCATTCATTCTACCCGGTTCAATTTGTATCCCTTGACTGTCTAAATTCGCTAGCTGACCAGGTTCATGTATAGCGACACGTAATCCATAGGCTTGTTCAAATAAATCCATTAGAAATGCTTGTCTATATTGGACATTATAATTTTCATTTGGTCCTAACCATATAATCAGGCCTAACTCTTGTACTTCTTGACTGTACGCTTGACTAACTTCAACTGTATGACAGTTAAAGTGGTGTGGATGAGAACGTTCACGGATAATAATCATGTCGTCATGACAACCAGGTCCACCGATAACCAGATTTCCACCAGAATATCGAAATAAACACATATAGATGCTTTGATTTCTTTCATGACCTAATAGCTTTGACTTTTGCCAGTCTAAATTTTGATAATACATTTTAACCGTGTCAAATTCAAAGGCGAAAAATCCCGCCTCTTGTGGAAAACTTTGATTTTTTGTTTGACTTGCATTCAAATAATAATCAGCGGCGTTTTTAAGTAGTTTACTAAATTGTGTCGGTGAAATTATCTCACCTGTACGCCATAATTCATAAGCACGACTAGAAAATGGTTGATGATTACAAAATGTTATGGCGGGAAAATTCGATGGTGCATCCATGTCGATATAAGTTTGTATATTTACAGAATAAGTGTTGTACTCATTTATTAATCTGATAATAGAGAATAAGAGAAATAGGCTAGTGAAGACAAGATAGAATATCCACAAGAGGCGGATAAAGCCACTCTCTGCTCTGACTATCCGATTACAACCACGAATAGATATAGAGTCGAGGAATAGGTAAAGATTGTCACGTGTTTTTCTGCAACATACGTTGTTGCCTTTGGTGGTGCTGCCGGTGTTGCTCATTTTGTCTGACTTGTTTGTATTTTTCATTGATTTATTGTTATTTCCGCTACTGCTGTTGTTGTTGTTGGGTTTTCTCTTGTTACCATGGTTACACGATCGCACTGTCATGTTGGCGTTGATTTGAGAAAGATTTCTTTCTAATAGTGTTTGTAGGCGGTTATTGTATTCTGTAATAGGAAAAATTCCAAAGAGGCACTTAGTATGAGTAAGGTGGGAGACACAAAGTTATAAATTCTTTGGGGAAAGAAGCCTGTTTGTAGTGTGGCAGAGTTTAGAATTCTCCCCCAGTGGCTAAATGGTTAACGAATTATTCGCGAACTGCTGGTATTCAGAAAACCATTGAAAAATACTGAGAAGTGTTGGACGGCTGTTTCGTCTTAGTTTGTGACTATTAGTACACGCTTGAAGACTTACAAGCGAAAACCAACCAACAAGTTGGAGGAAGACGTAGGCAGTAAAGACAACTTCAAGTAGATCCTGTGGAGCCTTTAAAACAAAACAATTTAGTTTGAACAAAGCAAGAACTACAGTTTTAGCAGAATAAATTGGTACCATCATTGTTTATTTCGTTGCCTTATCGTCAGCTGCTTACACGGCAAAGACATTATTAAATGTATCTACAAAAACAATTTTCACATACTTGCACAGAGTTCATTTTAAACAAAAATCAATCGATCAATGTACGCATACACTAATAATATATAAATAAATATTTACGTAATATTAAACACTATTCTGAACAATAACAATCATACACAATGGAAACTTTTCAGCATCTCGCATTCGGATGAAAAATATCTAGTTACCAGGGCAAAGAAAGCTTGATAATCGCTTCTTTCTGAAATCACAAATCAGGTTTCAGGCGCTTGATGGAAATGGATTCGGCAAACTTATGGAGAATTGAGCTCTTTTGCCTATTGATAATTTTGAACGACTTTTCGACGTCCACCTCATGACCCGTGTCGAGGAGATGCCTGGCGATGGCACTGTTTAAAGCATTCGTTCCCTTTAGACGTAAGCTTTTTGGTACATGTTCAGAAAGTCTTAGATATGCCCTTCTTTCTGTTCTTCTAATGTAACTGCTCCCGCAGATACATGTAAATTTGTAAACACAGTTGGAGTTAACAATTTCGTTTATCCAGTACCCTGCCGGAATGATTGTCAGGTCAAATACATAGGTCAAAGTAGTAAAACGAGGTTAGTCAGTCAGATTAGTAGAGCATAAAAACGTAGCAGCAAAATCTAGATTGTTTGACCCGAATAAGATAATGAATCTAGAGAATAGTTCAGCTGCAGCACTGCACTACTTGCAGTTACACACAAACATACAATAGGCTGGGATAAGATGACAGTTTTAAAATCTAATGTAACAGGGTGGAGGGAGAGATTGATAACGGAAGCTTTGTTTATCGAATCAACTACAAATACATGTAATAGGAATGATTCATCACCTGTCCCTGATATCTGGAAAATTCTACTACCCCTACGACGACAAATAGGAGAGAACAAAGAAAACTATAAAACTCAAGTTTCGAAGTCGTGTGATTATAATTGATGATATGATTATGAACAATAATGAATTGTGTTCGAAACTCTGTCATCCAGTAAATAATACTGTTTCACTCACCGTGAGTGATACATCTAATAAACAAACTAATATGGAATAACTTCAAGTAGACATGAAGAAGACATAGCTGCCCACCGACCAATAACAAATTTGAAAGAGGTCACTACATTCACTTATCTTCGGCATCATCGTTTCGAATAAAGGCAGTATAGATGAAAATGTTGAAACCAGAGTCGAAGAGTCAATGCAACTTTCATCGCACTTAAATCAGTTTGAAAATCTTGTGCACTCAAGAACTCAATTTGAGCTCTTCTACATGGTTCAGAAACTTGGTGCGTGCGTCACAAAAAGCATTCGCATCAGGCTGTGCAAACTCTTGTCGACAGCTATCCTCGCTCCACAATGAAGGGCAGATGGCAGACGGGAAAGAATTAGCAACAGGAACTTCTGGGAACGAAGCAATCAAGTCCCTTTTGCTCAACAAAAATGCCAAAGAAAAATTACAATGTATCGTACACAGGCTGAGGAGACTGCTAGATGACACTGCGCGCCAGGGCGTAACACACTATTCTCTAGACTTGCCAAGAAACAGTCTGCAAGTAAAGGAGCCAATGGTGACGCCATTGCCACTCCATCTCTTTGTCTATAAAGCGTGTTGTTGAACTTGAACTGGATATTAAAAGTGCACCTCAAATAGTAGTTCCTTTAAATAGTGGATCGGAACATCCACGTCTACATTATTATCCTCAATGAATTCGCATATAAAGCAAATAGTTTCAGTGAGAGGAACATTAGTGCGCTGGTGACACAGCGGTAAAATGTTCGCCAACCACGCCTCATGTGGTCCGAGGTTCGATCCCTGGCTGCCGACGCACTCCTTTACCTCGCTAAGTCAGCAATAAAGCTAGTAAAGAGGAAAGGTTGGGCATGAGCATGAGGCTAGCAACCCCATCCTGTCAAAATAAACGCCACTGCTACAGAAACTTCAAGCTGACTCCAGCTTAAAGCCCTATTTTCCACTGGAAACGTGAAGGAATGTAAAAAAGGGGTGTAACATCCATAGGTATCATTTTCATCCCGGAGACAATAGTACCATTAATTTCGATATCAAGATAATTTCATTGTTACTGCGCATACTTGGTTGTTAACAAGTAGCTTTATTGTTAAATAATCAACCGGAAATGTGACATATTATAGCTCTAATGTTATTTTGATGTTCTTTTTTGGCAATTCACATGTCGGATGTGGAAGTTGCCTGTACGATAGAAATCACTGCTCACGATATCTAACACATAAATTCCCCTTAAACACAAATCAGTTTTACAGAGATGTTGAGAAATTAAATTCTACACCGGAAAATGTTAATAAATGATCAGATAAGCCCCAACCCCATTACAGTACAGAAAAAATGTTGCATGATAACTATAAGAGAGATGAAGAGAGGGAGAGTTCCGTATTCTTTTAATCAGCTCAGTGGAATGTTATGAGTTTTACATAAGGCTACAAGCATTGAAATTTCATTAGCGATGGTGTTATCTTTCTACCTCAAGCGAGTTCAATCTTCGCTGTTTTCTGGCCTTGTTATCAGTTAGTGAACTATATGTGTGGATTCAGAATGCATCAGATAGGAATCGGACTGTGATGATGAACGTGGTTGGCAAACATTTTACCTGTATTTACGGGTTTGAACACGGATTGATATCAGTTAGAGAACCATTGAAAACCACGGAGTAATGGACAGCTGTTTCATCAGCCTAGTTTGGGAATCATTGGCAGTATGCACCCACCACAAAGAGGTTCGAGCCCAGGAACTTCCGGTTACAAGGCAAGCTCGTATACCATTCAGTCACTGGGACCCGATTCAATGGCCAGCCAGCGCATGAATTTAGCGCAACTGGCACCCACCAATGTCATCAGTGGGAAATCCATCCTCACACTTGACTGGTTGGACCTCACTGGACTCGACTTCTCACTAGATCCTGTAAACGGAAAAATTGTTTGGAAATGTATATATACATTCTATTTCATGTCATTTAATGTAAACCAAAATTACGCGGTCAGTGATTGCTGAAAGAATATAAACTTAATAATATATAAATAGCGACTGTGTGTCGGTAGCACAGTGGTTAGGACTCTCGCCGACCATTTACATGGTCCGGAGTTCGATCCCATGCCAACGCACACCCGATATCTATGGTCGGCCTGCAAAATTTGGGCTACCGATATCCACGCTGAAAATTCCATACTTGTACTGAAAATACGGTGTGGAATCAAGCTGTAATCAAAAATAAAATTAAAAAAATAAATTTGAAAATGTACGCTTGCTTCCGGGTCTTGCCATCTGCTGTTACTTTTAGTGTCGCTGCCCGCCGACAAATGAAAAGCCTATGGTCTGCAGTTTTTGAAGAAGGAGATATATGGATCTTAGGGCATGATTTTGAGGCAGTTGCGGAGTTAAATGTCGTTTAAGATCCGTCAGCTAAGAGGCTTTTATTTGGAACGCTGCTGAGAGGTCGGGCGAAGGCGAAACACAGATGAATACGCGCCAGGGTTATGCAAACTGCTTCCAAAGTGGGAAGAGCTGTACACTGTCACCGCGAGATGGAGTCACGTGTATACGACCGGAAATGCAAACAAAGAGGAGTGAGTGAACGTCGGCTAGCTCCGGAACTGGGTATAGCAAGACAAGCAACCAAGGACGCCAGCACCAAGATGACTGGACTGCCTTCATTCGAATCTGTTTGACGGGGGAGCAAGTGTTGTGGTGGTGTGATACAGGCAATGTGTTCAAACCGAATGTTATCCTCACATACTCCCACAGTTCAACACTGTATTAGCAAAAGAATGCTTTATATATATATATAACAATTAGTCCCTTTTATAAATTTGGATAGTGTTATTAGAAGACGGAGATTATCTGAAAAACAGCGTGATGTATTTGTGCTATACATTTCGAACAATCTGATTTCGAACATATTTACTTGTCAAGTTAAAATATTTGAAAAAATTAAGGGCAATTATATTAAACAAAATGACAAAAAAGGATTTAAGAATGATTAACACAGCGTTTGGTAATCCAATCAAATAAGGATTACCAAGGTAGGTTAAGAGTAATAATAAACTGTTTATGAATACACAGAGAGATGGGCTTAAGTTTATATCCTCAGCGTATTTCAGTAAGCTCCCTTGACTATTTTTATAGATGACATTGAAGTCTGAGTTAACATCGATCTTATAGTTCATCTCGATTAGATGTTGGTAGTCTGACACCTGCATCTATTGGTTTTCCACAATTCATTTGTTTTTCTAACTATTTCGGGATATGGTCTCCCACCCTCACATGCAAAGCACGATTTCTCCTCCCTGTGTATGTGTGTCCACACACACACGAAAATTGATAAATAGTGTGGGATGTGAAATAATCACTTCTTCAGTTTTGAAGTTTGCAGCGGAGCATATTTTTGGCTTTTTCGATAATTACAAGCCGGGCTGCATAATAGGTTCTACGGATGACCAAATTCAACCTTTGTCTCAAAATCCTACTGTTTATTTCCCCATTAAATGGTAGTTTGGCGTTGTCTTAATCATTCTTAAATCGCA